AGATGGCCGCTTGTTTACCTTCAAGCTTTTAAGACATTGGATTTTTTAAAACAAAACTTTGAGGAGGAGGAGACTTCTGCCGCATAAAAGTGGTTAAAAACAAAAGGAGAAAAGGAAAAAAAATCACAAGAAGAAAATGGATGAACCTGACATGATAAAACTTCCATTCCACATTTCTAAAATTACAAAAGAAAAAGCAAAGCACAAATAAAAGAGGAACTATTCAGAGTCCTGGAAATAAAGTCTGTAGCAACCACTCACTAGAGAGGAAATGTAGCTACTCAATGCACTGAGGGAAATGCTTAGTTTTGCTAGTTACCAAAGATACGCAATAAAAACAACAACACCAAGACAACAAAAAGAAAACAACCTGAAGATGTAAAATTTACTCATCAAATTAGCCAAAATGTTTCAGTGATAGTAAGTGGTGCTGACAAGGGCACACACCCTCATGGCCGGCAAACCATCATTCCTGACAGTGTATATAAATGAGCAGGAGCAGTTTGGAAGAAGATGTAAGGATGTGCTATGACAGCCTGGTCCTATCCTTGGCTTCTCCGAAGGGTGGGGGTCCTCGTTTGAGGCAGGAGCCCTGTGAGACAGGAGACAGCGCACTTAACGATGTCTTGTGATACTGAGAAGCCATAAGCGATCGAGAGATTTGGAAACAGGTCGTTTTGATACATTTCTTGGTGTATGGTTCCACTGGTATTAAAACATGAGACTTAACAAAACACCACATCCTACCTGGGATAACCTGGAACAGACATGGGATATTTGTGGGGGAAGTTAGTGAAATGCAAGTAAGGCTGGTGGTTTAAATCAAAACATTGTACTGCTAAGAGTTAACACAACTCCCAGTCAGGTCTCAGTTTCCACAAAAGTACCTGCGTCACGGAAGATGTTTACTGGGTGAAAGGTATATGAACACTTATCTTTGCATCTCTTTCATAAATCTAAATGTCTTTCCCAATAAAACGTTTAGTTAGAAAATGACATTTGGACCACTGTTGTAGCAACAATTATGATTTCATGTTAAATAGAAATACATACTCAATTGCTGTTGATTATTACTACTTTGTTGTTGTTGTTATTGTTGCTGTTGTTAGGTGCTCTCTAGTCGGTTCTAACTCATAGCACCCCCATGTGCAATACAGCGAAAGACCTCAGTCCTGACTGTCTTCACCGCCTTTGCTGTTTCAGGCATCGTGGCAGCCCCGGGTTGGTCCATCTCGTTCCGGCGGGCCCTCCTCATTTTTGCGGAGCCTCTACTTTATCTAACCTGATGTCCTGCTCCAAGGACTGGTTCCTCCTTATAAAATTTCCAAAGGACGTGAGCCAAATGTCCCACATTCTCTTCTAAGGAGTAACCTGGCTTCTCCCAGAAGAAGGAGCACTTAATTCAAGACAGATTTGCTTATTCTCCAGCCGTTCATTATTTTTCAACAACACCATAATTCAGAGGCATCAGTTCTTCTCTGGGCTTCCTTATTG